TCCAATATTTTGTAACATTGTCGCGAGCATAGAACGATTTTCAGATTTCTGTTCCATTTTATTTTAAATATATACGTCTGGTGTAAATTGCAAATTTCAAGCAACAACTTTTCGCGAAATTCAATATTAATTTAGCGAATAAAAGAATTTTGCAAGTGTATATTAATGTTTTATACACTTGCGATCTTTCACTTGTTTCTCAATTTACTTTGCATTGCACGAATAAATATTGAAGTTGAAAAATTCTGCAAATCATTGTAATATTCCTTTTTGTATTAATCTTTTTATTTTCATTTAGTTGTTCTTTCTTGAAAGATTTCAATTTTCACCGAAACCGCAAAACCGCAAGTTCTAATTGACTAGAACGATTATATTATACCTCTATTTTTAAATAGACAAAGAAGGGAAAACGAATTTAGTCCAAATCCAATATCAGTAAGTTTCTTGACCGCGAATTCTTAACAATTCGCTCGTGTGCCGTTTCGATGACCTCGAACGGGTTCCCTCTTTCTTCAATCCCCTTCTTAGCTTTCATTTCTACATTGGTTTTTGATTTGTTAATGGATCTGCATATGTAGAGATCAGAACTCTAAACTGAACGTGGCTCGTAATTCATTCCACACACATTAATAAAATTATATATCATTCAGTCACAATTAGGGCAATTAAGCAAACAAAGACTAATTTAGTCCACAACAGTTGACTACGAATTCTTAGAAATACAAGTGTGCTTATTATTTCGTCGACCTCGAACAATTCTTTCAGTTTGCTTTTCATTATAATTTTCGTTCGAACAGACTCCAGCTCTCGTGATTTTTATATTTGCAATGAAAATGTTTGAGGTCAATTGGTCGTCGTATTCTCCCTTTACCAACTATCGACACAGAAAGAAGAAACGTTTTCGTTAAATTGTTCGTAATTAACATAAATAATTTATTCTGTAAGAAGAATGTTTCTCGTTACTTAAAAGCGAAAGTTCTGTTTCTAATAAACAGCCGACGTTTCACAAAGTCTGTCACAAACTTTCTCAATGTGGTTAGAAACTATAACAAATTTCAACGATAGAGCTACTTAAAATTCCCTCTTCGGCCACCTAATTATAAATTTATTCCTACTGTCGATATTTATTAGCTGACACGATCACGATCAAAATTATATAGTCGTTTTCATGATCATTAAATTATTAAATCAATCATTTCACGATGATTAAATTAATCGCGATTACAAACGATCTCGATTACTTCCCTCGCGATGATCACTGATTATTTGACGATCGACAATCGTGATTAATATCCTGCATTGCAGATTAATCACGATCATTAATCAGATTACGTTACGCCCAGCTCTGATTGAATGTCATTCGTACTTCGTCCCGACGAAGCGAGCGATCGCGGCGCTTTTATCAATTCCGAATGCGAACCAGCTCGAATCAACCCTCTCTCCCTCCTCCTCCTCCTCCACCCGTCGTTCCACCGTAGTTCGTGTTTTCACTGGTCACGCCGAAAATTCGTTTCGTCCGTGCATGTCGGGGAAAATCTGCATTGAGGCACGAGGCCGGAACGAACGGGCGCGCGGCGTATTCATTCCTTTCGTGTACGATCTAGGAATGCATCGGCCTCCGGGGAAATGCCTGGAATGGTTCAACCTGGCCCTTCCACGGAATCCACGGAAGCTTTCGTGCGGCTAAAGGATAGATTGAAGATGTCTGGTGATTACTGGAGAAAAACTTACGAGGAGAGACACACGAGATGGTCTTTGATGGTTTTTTCTTTTTTTTTTAAATATATTGTTCGAACGAATGGTCTTTTCGCGAAATGATAAATTCGTCGTTGAAAAAAAAAAAAAAAAAAAAACAATTTCATCAATTTGAATGATTGAAACGTGAAGCACTTAAGAAATTAAAAATGCCTCGTAGGTTTCTTCTAAATGTTTCTATCCTGAAGCGAGGCACACAATTGCTGTTTCTTTTGATATCATAATTATTAGTTATTTAGAAAAGTGAAAAAAGCAACAATTTCATCAATTTATCGCGGAAACTGTGTGAACAGTAATTTCCGAGATGTTTGACGAAATATGTTCTGGACTCTCAACTTTGAGGGTTTAGAGGGTTTTCATCCCTTCAACATTTTGAAAACTATATTTGTGCCAAATGAGGGTAATTTACGTCAGTTCAAAAAATATGTGTCAAATAATTTTTCGAAAATCACATTTGTGCCAATTTCTTTTTAAAAAGTTGGCAAGTGACGCTTATGTTTCCACGTGAACTCGTTCTCGAGTACTGGTGTCATTCTGTATCATTCTGTTTGCAACAATGCCTTTATCAAAGGCTCGAATTTGATATTTCGATCGAGCTCTCTCTCTAAATCTCTAAATCTCTCTCTAAATTTAGAGTCGTAACGAAAGTGGTTCTAACTTATGTTATCCTCTTTTTTTAATTAACATTTGCAATGTTCAACATTCTAACTCGTGTTACCCTCTTTTTTCAATTGACATTTGTAATATCCAACATTCTAACTCGTGTTATCCTCTTTTTTTTAATTAACATTTGCAATGTCCAATATTCTTAAGTTATTGTAATTTTTCACCCTTTCAACTTGTTTCAACCTTGTGTTTCTCATACGAATGACTAGTTTGTTTTTCGATCGTTATTACAATGGAAAATGGAATGAGATCTTTTTTTTGTCATAATGTATTCCAGTAGTAGCGTATTATAGTGGATCATTTTTATCTGAACAGTACATTATGGTGAATCGTTTCTTATTCCAGGTGCGTTTTATAAACAAAAATAGAAAACGTATCTTCAATGAACGAATAAACGAATATATACAGAGAAACGAATTTGTATCATTTGGAATTTATGAGTGAAATATACGTCTTACATAGAACAACTATCACTATAATACATTAACATGCACGAATAATTATTTACTCATTTATGTAGGTTAATCTACTAAAGATAATAAATTGAATATACAATAACTGAATTGTGTTTTGGATTCTGGAATAGCATACAATAGAGTAAAGAAAACTCTCAAAGCTTTTTCTTTCCTCCGATTCCTAACTTAATCTAATTCTTGATTCCCCACTTCTTGTTAACATTTTATTTAATTCAAAAGAACTGTATTTATTATAGATGCTCTTTTTTTTAAATATAAATGATATTATATGATAAACTTCCTTTCTTATTATCATCCAATATATCAAAATTTAATAAGAACTGTATTTATTATACATGCTGTCTTTTAATACAAATGCCATTTATGTTATAAATCTGCTTTCTTATTAATCATCTAGAACATCAAAATTTAATTCAAAAGAATTGTATTTATTATAGATGCTGTTTTTTTTTAATATAAATGCTATGATAAATCTCCTTTCTTATTATTTAAAATATCAAAATTTAATAAGAACTGTATTTATTATAGCTTTTTTAATAAAAATGCCATCGTGTTATAAATTTCTTTTCTTATTATCATTTAAAATATCAAAATTGACTAAAAACTATATTTATTATAGATGCTGTTTTTTTTCAACATAAATGCTATGATATAATAAATCTCCTTTCTTATTACATCTAAAACATCAAAATTCAATATAAACTGTATTTATTGCAGATGCTGTTTTTTAACACAAATGCCATTTATGTCATAAATCTTCTTTCTTATTAATCATCTAGAACATTAAAATTTAATTCAAAAGAATTGTATTTATTACAGATGCTGTTTTTTTTTAATATAAATGATATTAGATAAACTTCCTTTTTTATTATCATCCAATATATCAAGATTTAATAAGAAGTGTATTTATTATACATGCTAGTTTTTAATACAAATGCCATTTATGTTATAAATCTCCTTTCTTATTAATCATCTAGAACATCAAAATTTCATTCAAAAGAATTGTATTTATTATAGATGCTGTTTTTTTTTATCATATGATAAATCTCCTTTCTTATCCAAACTATCAAAATTTAATAAGAACTAGTATTTATTATAGCTTTTTTAATAAAAATGCCATCGTGTTATAAATTTCTTTTCTTATTATCATTTAAAATATCAAAATTGAATAGAAACTATATTTATTATAGATGCTGTTTTTTTTCAACATAAATGCTATGATATAATAAATTTCCTTTCTTATTACATCTAAAACATCAAAATTTAATAAAAACTATATTTATTATAGATGTGTTGTTTTTTAATACAAATGCCATTTATGTTATAAATCTCCTTTCTTATTAATCATCTAGAACGTCAAAATTTAATTCAAACGAACTGCATTTGTTATAAGCCTCTCAATGATAGAATACGATAAGATTAAATTATTTCGTATTCAGTGTATTGACAAATTGATAATACGCTCGTCAATTCCACTTTTTCATCGCGACAAAACTTTCTTTCTTTCGTCTCTGCATCCGGCGCGCTTTCCGGTCGCTGTTTCGATCGACGGCCCGATAAAGCGTGTCCGCTATTGCGCGAGCAAATTCCTCGCGGTGAATCGCCGATAAAACGTGCGATATTCCGGTTGAAAACAAGCCTTAAAACCCTCCACCCCCCGGTGACCGGCCAAGGTATTCGTCGTTCTCAAAGCAGCCGTGGCGAGGAAGCGTCGAGGAAGGGCCCGTAAAATTTCATATCGGTCTCAGCAACCGGCTCCGTGTGAATGTCTTCGTTTCACCGGGCTTGTCGATATTATCGGTCCCGCGTTATAAAGCTTGGCGCGAATCGCGCGTTTATTGCTCGCCGCGTCGCGAGGGCGGGGAAAGGCAAGGGGGAGGGGGGGGAGGAAATTTAATACGCGAATACTGGAATAGGGAACCTACCCGATAGGGAGAGGGTGAGGGACGGAAGCGCGATTCCCGAATATACGCGTGCACGTATACGTCCTGACGCATTGAAGAGCCCCGAGGAGGTGGCGATAGGAGGTCGCGCGAGATATTGAATTTCGAGGCCGGTGGCTTTTGTACGTACGTACGTACACGCCGGTAATGCCAGACTCACCTGTGAAGGACACGTTCAGCAGGTAGTTCCTGTAGAACATGCCACGGTCGTAGTTGGCCATCGTTGGGCAGAGGCCTTCGGTTTTCGTGCACACGTCCCTCTGAAGATTGTGCAGCGCCAGAGCGAACGCGTACACCGCGTCCACCACGAATTGGACCTTCGACTCCTGCTCGTATCCAGTCTCCGGTGTCAGTCTGAGCTTCGCCGGGCACACGGTGCTGTTTTTACCGACGACGTTTTTCCTGAGGACGCAGCCGAACGCTTCCTCCCAGTACTCGCTGAACCAAGGGTTACGACGATTGGACTCCGGCGTCAACGAGGCCATGTACTCGTCGAAGCCCGGTATGTTCTCCGACTGGAGCTCCACCGTGATCGCGCCTTCCGCCTCGTCCTCGAGGCCCTCGACGAGCTTGATCTGACGGCCCCAGCCGTCACTCGCCAGCCACTGAAACGGCTGGCTCATGTTGCACCTTCTGGCAGCCTCCAGGATCCCTCGGGCGTCCTCCGCGCGGGTGAACAGGATCACGGCCCTCGCGTTCGGCTTCTTACTCAGCCTTTGGATGATGTCGTCGAACACTCGGTCGTCCGCGGCGCTGGGCACTTTCACCGCCGCCGCGATGCACACGTTCCGCTCGGTGGCTTCCCTGGTGAACACCTCGATACCGTATTCCCCGTAGCTGCCCTCGGAGTAGACCGTCGAGACGTACGACCAATTCGCGCTCTTCACCACGTCGACCAGCGCGATCGACTGGAACGTGTCCGGGGGCACCGTCCTCGCGAAATAGTCGAATCTGGTGAAGAGAGGTCGAACGTTTCTTCATAATTTAATTGTGATAGTAGTCATAATTGTTTTCTTGATAATTTAATAATTACAATAATTTAATTATCAAAAGGAGACACTATTATATATATATATTAATATGGTATTATTTTGTATAATATAATAATATTATATATTAGTAATATGTATATTTACCTTTACAAAATAATACCATATTAATATTTATATTATTATATTATTAAAATAATAATAATATGTTATACAAAATATGTATATTAATATAATAATATTATATTATATAATAATAATATAATATAATATAATAATATTATATAATAATTTTAATAATATTAATATAAATATTATATAATAATAATAATATATTATACCTTATACCTTTATTTTATTATATTATATCTTTAAGGTATATTATATAATAATATAAGGTATATTATACCTTTTAATATAAACATTATATAATAATAATAATATATTATACCTTAACACAAAAAATATATATATATATTTTTTTGTATTAAGGTGTGTATATGTGTATTATACACATATAGGCTTCTCTGATAATTAATACCGACACAAAACGTGCGTTTGAAAGGGAAGATTTGTAAAGTGAAGAAAACTTTTAGAATAATATTAAAATAAATAATTCTGTAATTAAATAATCAAATAATAGAATTATATAATAAAATTTTAGTAAGAATAGCGTAAAGATTAAATTCCTTACGAGAGAAAGAAAGAAAAGAAGAGAGAAAGAGAATGTCGAGGACTCACCTAGTCTTGTCGCTGAGCGCTTTGGCGGTGGAGGCGGGCGAGATCTGCGGTATGTGAAACAGCCTGAGTAAATTCGCCACCTGCAACGACACCGAGCTGTAGGAACCGCCGATCACGCCGAAGATCGGCCCGGCGCTGACCGTCTTCTTCACCCTCGGCACCGACTTGTCCGCGCACTCGAGCACCGTGATGTCCAAATTGGACAGGGACGCCCGGACGAAGTGGAGGCTCTGGTTGAGCGCGTACGTGTCCCTGCCACAGGTGTCAAGGATGTGCACGCCGAGCGTGATGCCCGGTAGTATCTTCTTGTCCCTGTTGATCTGGTCCACGGCGAACAACATCGCCTCGAGACGCTGGACGCCTCGATTGTAGACGTTCGGCCCGCAAGAGGCGCCGCCCTTCTCGTGTACTGGAAACAGACCACCGAGAACAATATCGCCGGGGATCAGCACCGCTTCCCGCTCGCTGTGCGCCTTCGACTGGCTCACCACCGACAGCTGGTGCAGCGATACCAGCAGGACCAGCATCTGAACGAGAGGCTGGCTCATTTTAGCCGTCTTTAGACGCTAACTCTACTCTAGCCGCGTGATGCTACCTGCTGCTGTTCGCTCGAAGATCCAAGCATTTTATGCTTCGTTTCTTCGTCACTTTCGCGAGTGTCGTCACTAGTCGGACTAGCGTGTCTTTAAAGTCGATTTGTCGACATTTGGGGACAGTTTCTACGAGCCTCTCTACGCGTTTGTCAGCTTGCCCGGAAGAAGTATTATGAGAGGTTGCCGCTTGTCCCTTCAGGCACACCGTAGTAGAAAAATCTTAGGTCGATTAGGACTTCGACTTAGGCCCTCTGTTTTGTAGATTGTTTCAGATTTCCGTTTCCGGAAACGTCTTCTATTTACATTTTGTTCAAGGCAGTCCTGAGACGATTCTTAGATACGCGACGACTCTTGGATAACGGCGATGCTGAAATTATCCGATCGCCTTCGTACGTCAATGCCACTTCGCCGAGAGTGATCCTAGTTTCGCCCATCGTTTCCTCGAGCATCTTCAAACTTCTCCCCCTGAGCCACCGTCTCTCGGAGAAGAAACGTCCGGCTCCAACCTCCTGGTTTCTGAAGTTCGCATAAACAATCTTGGTATTAGTGCGTCGGTGAGATTCGAAGGAAGACGGAGAGGATCGCTGGAGTGGTTTATCGATCGAGCAAATCGTCGACCCGGGAAACTGCTTCTCCATCAATTTCGCGACACGCAACGCGACTCGATTCTCACGATTTTTCGACGTCGTCAAACGGGCTTTCGGTTTTCGATGTCCGGGCAAACGTGTAACCGGACCACTAGACCTTCCGGACATAAGTTACGTTCCGTTCGTGGGTCTTTTTCTAGCTACTGAAGTAAAATATTTCCTTTAACGTTAGAACTGTCGATGATTGAAACGTAAAGTAAAAAAAAATTTAAAATGTTTCTTCTCCGCCTGAAGTGAAATTACTGTTTTAACCTCTTGCACTGGAATGATGTACCACGCACGTCGAGAATTTTTTTTCCCCAAATTGCAACATTTTCTCAGTTTTAAGTTTATTTAAATATACTTAAATAATAATAAATATACTTAAATATACTTAAACAATAAATATATTATTTAATATATTTTTATTATATTTTAATATATTTTATTTTATTATATTAAATATATTATAAATATATTATTTAATATATTTAAATATATTTATTATTTAATAAATATATTAATAAATATGTTTAAATCTAGGCGAAAGAAATGATATGTAATAATTTCTATCCAGTGATATCATACCGACCAGTTCAAAAGAAAAAGAAAGCGACGAATTATTGTATACGATTCGGTCACTCGTTATGGTCCGCGAACCAGTTGCCAGCGCAAGGGGTTAATACTACAATTATCAGAGATTTAAAAAAAGTAGAATTGAAATATATATTCTGAAAAAATCGAAATATGCTGTGCTCGTGTTTCTTCAATTCTAATGCTGGAACTATCGATGATTGAAACATAAAATATGCTTTAAAAATCAAAATGTTCCGTTCATAGGCACTTCTCTTATCTCTAAAGTGAAATTACTGTTTCTTTTGATACTGGAATTATCGATAATTAAAACGTAAAATATCTTCTGAAAAAAATCAGAATGTGTGCTGTGAACGGGTTCTTGCCCTTTGCGTTTGCAGTGAAATTATTATCTCTTTTTGATAATAATTTCTCGTTGCCTCTTTTAATATTACATTTTGTATTATATAATTTTAATATTAGAATTGTCGATGATTGAAACGCGAAATACGTTCTAAAAATCGAAATGTTCCTTTCATAGGTTCTTCTCTTATCTCTGAATTTTGATTTTTAATCATCTCTTTTGATATTACAATTATCGGTAACTGAAATGTAAAATATGCTCTGAAAAAATCGAAATGTACCGTGCATTTCTCTTTTGTGTTTGAAGTGAAATTGTTGTTTCTTTTAATATCAGAACTGTCAGTGATTAAAGTATACCCTATATGCATAACCTAGATAATTACTAATGTAAAACTGCCAGATCAATGGGTTAAATCTATCTAGAACTTCCCTTTTTATAATTGCTAATGATTACAACGAACTGTTACTGTGAACAGACACTTACAGTTAGAATAAAAGTTAAACGTAAGAAGAATAAACGAAGTTACTTTCGAAAACGAAGGCAGTCGTAACTAAAATGGCGGAAGGAAATTATGTTTCTCGAGATTGGAAACATGTGAGTAATAAACGTAACGTTGTTAATAATTTAAACGTTGTCACGTGTTAGAAAAATATAATCAATAGTAAAAAGAAAAGAATCATTCAAATAAAATGATTCTTTCCAAGTTTATATCACTGTAACTTAAAATTTACGCTACTTCGCATGGTTTCAAGTGCAAAATTTTAATAGTCTAAATTCATTACTAAAATTCTACAATTAGACACAATTTAGATACAATATTTTAGCAATAAATTATTACAATGTAAGAATTGTTCCAAACAACACACGTTTAAAATATTTCCACGAGTCCTGCATTCTAATTTCGATGTCAACCACATATAAATTCTACACACACAAAAAAAAGAGAGAGAGAGAGAAAAAACTGAAAAAGTAGGTTGAACCAGCAAGTTTCGAGCTGGGAAACTACGGCAAACTAATTGAAACGTTACGTAGTGTGTACATGGTACCCCGATCGAGAGGAAAGAAAAGAAACAAACGATCGTCGAGCACGCAAGCGCTACACACCAGCGTCCCGACCTCTCTGTTCATTTCTGTACGGAAACTAGACGCATTCGAAGTTCTCTCGGAGGGCAAGAGTTCGTACAAACGGCGAACGTCGTCGACGACGAAAGACGAAGGACTTTGCCCGAGGCAAGTTTCGAAGAAGCCTCTTTTACCATCGAGCGCTCCTTTAATCTCTCAGTGAATTTTGATCGCGACAGCCAGACGATAAAAGTATTAATAAGTTGATCAGAGCCGAACGTCCCGTGCCCTGAAAAATTTCCAGTAAAACTTTGTTCCAGTCGCGAAGCACGGGGTTCCTTGGTGATCGATCGATATCGTACTGACATCAAGATGTCTCTCAACACTGTCAAAGTTGTCTTTTCCTAATGAAAATAGTTTTGTGTAAAATCCTCCCGTTATCAGGAAGCGAACGAGACGGGAGCCGCCAGGCAATTTAAACAGCTTATTGGTTTTTGTTTTACGCTACTCTGTCATTTCTTGATTTTTGAGTAAATTTCCAACTTAAGTAGTTTCCACAATTTTTCGCTATTTCGCTATGTTCTTTTTTTCCTTTTATTCCGGATGGTTCCATATGTTGTTCTAGCGTTTCTTCTTATTTATGTTTGATTTAAAGAAAAAGACAGAATGTCGAAAGCCAAAAATTGGAAAAAGTCGCTAAACTAGATATTTACTAGATTCTTGAGCTTGTCGACTTGTTTCGCAAGTTTTAACTTTAATTTAAGGACACTCTGTATAATAACAAAATACCTATATCTTCTATCGTAACGAAACTGTTTAATTAAAGGATTAAGCATGTTTATTCAACGTTGAAATATTAGAATATGTTTCTAATCATATTCAAAAAAAATAATATTTCCTGCATATAAGAAATCTGAAAAATGCGCCTGAACCTGTTTGCCCCTTGTCGCGTTTATGAATCGGTCCTAAAACAATTTCGTCGCTATGTGACTTTCAGTTAATGATAAATCAACACTCTCTCTCTCTCTCTCTCTCTCTCTCTCTCTCTCTCTCTCTTTCTCTCTCTTGACGCCTTCATCTATTTCTTTCTCGTTTTTCGTTCCCACGGAGCTTTTCCTCCAACATCCACCGGCATCCATCCACGTTTCGCGTCCCGTTTCGTACGATTTAACTCGACGACCAAACGCGGCCCAGCCGGCTGCCATTTAGGACGATTTCACTTTTACTTTTTTACCGAGAGAAACAGAAGGACGCCAGAAGGCAGCGGCTGCGAAAATTCACCGGGTCGACGTTGCGCCAGCTCGGGGGCTCGTTAAATTCCAACCCCCCCTCCGACTACGTTACTCGTTAAGCGGACTTAATTTCACGGAACTCTAACAAGCGTGGCTGTGCTCCCAGTGCTTTAAATTCGAGAGCTCTCCCGCCACTTTTTCTTTTTTTTTTTTTTTTTTTTTTTTTTTTTTTTTTTTCATTTCTTACCTCGCTGTCCCGGCCAGCCCTACGTTTCGTCTACTAGTTCCACTCGCACTCGATTCTTAGCACTCTCCTTTGCCCAAAATTGTTTCCCTCGGTGGCTTTCCACTCCTAACTATCAGTTTTCACGAAAGTTTAAACGATATTTTAAAGGATGTTTATTTATTTACGCATAATCGAGGACCTCGAGACTATTTTTTTCAATAATTGTTAAAACTGAATAACGTTTAATCCGTATTGGAGTGTCGTACAAATAATCTGAGATGCTTAAAATAATTAATAATTATTAATAAATATAATTAATAATATAATAATTAATATAATAATTAATAATATAATAATATACTATAATATTATAATATTATATATTATAATAATGTAATAATACTACATTATATAATTATATAATTATAATAATATAATAATTAATAATTAATAATAAATAATTAGGTTCAAAAAGGATAATATATTGCAATGTATTGAATAAATATATCAAATCTTTAATACGTTTAAAAATGAATGTATTTTAAATTTGTTACGTGCTCCTCGTTTGATATTAAACTTTTAGACGTTTGATTATTTTAACGAATGAATTCTGACTATCGTTCTTGCTATTCAGTTTAAAAATTGGATTTTAAATTTGTCTATACTCCTCGTTTGATGTCAAACTTTTGGACGTTTGATCATTTTAATTTATTATTTTCCCTGTATAAAGTGTCCCACTCGGATATTTATCAAACTATCAACGATACAAAAAAACGTTCGAGAGAAAAACTTTACACTGTGCGAAGAATGTATGCTAAAAAAAAAAAGGTTAGTCGAAAAATATGTAGGATTCTTAAATATTGAAATAAACTGACAATTTTCTACACACGCAATTTAATATCACGAAAACATCATATCAAGATATCAAAAGTGTAAAAAGAGAAAAAGTTTGTTTCTTCTCTCTTTCCCAATGAAGATATTTTATACCGTAATACAATAATATATAATAAGGACAAAGTTATTCTGCCGTCTTATCCTTCACTCGTGCAAGTATATTTTTCGGCAGCGTTGCGTAAGAAAATGCAATTTCACAGCAGAGAGGCTCCAGAGGAAGCGTAAGATCGAAGAGTTCAAGTACAAGTTCCATCGAGGTCGCTAAATGGTCTACAGGCGCGGCGTCGTCAGACGGCCGACATCATAAGCGCTTGCACTATGACCCATGTGGCGCCGACTTTCCAAACGAGCATGTATTTGGTCTCTCCAGAGGGAAACTTTGCTATGGATGAAACCTAACCTCGATCCAGTTCTTACACTCTGATTTTAGAAGTAATTCTTCATCCCTCCAACTTAACGCTGGAGCAAAATAACTGGTTTCAATTTTCTTCTTCTTTCTTATCACTATCGCGGTTACAGAGATTACATCAATTACAATA